CTGATTGAGCTGAATGTTAAGTTTAAAGCACAGTTATTTGCAGTACCAAGAGAAAAACAATCATCTGGGCAGAATACATTTTTCATGGTTCTCTCTTTCTGTGAAAGAGACTTTCCATTGTGTAACTGCAGTACAGCATCAGTGGTGAACACTTCATATCCTGGTGCAGAGTCCCAGAGCTCCCTTCTTAATCGCCTCTGAGTGGGTGCCAGCACAGGCCGCAGACTCTCCTGCAGTCTCTGGGTCAGCATGCAGGGATCTGGGCCCAGTAGCCAGGCCTGACCTATCACCCTGCAGGCTCTTTAAACACATTCAGCTAAACTAAGTACCATAATTTCTGTGCAAGCAGATCCATAGATAAAGTTTATGCTTTTTTCTGTTCTCCTCAAGTTTAACTTCTGCCTTTTTCTTCCCTTTGTTCTCCTGACCTTTTACCTGCATTGTCCCATGCTCTTTAAAGATACCATGTAAAGTATTATCTCCAGAAATGATGGTGCTTCAGAATAAAGCTTGAATGATGTTAGCAACTCCCAGCAGCACTCTGCTGCTTACTCTAAATTGGAAGCTTTGATTACATTTAATCATCTGTAGTGATTATGGTAGAGTGTGTGTGTGTCACTCATGTCTCAGCTCTTTTGTCTGCTTTCTGTGTCTCCTCTGAGTAACTTCCCTTATAGTAAGTACTCATTGACAGGGACTGGATTTTTTTCATATTATTAACTGATTTGTATTTATATTTTTGTATGCTAATTGGTAAAAATCTTTCTCCTGCTCTGAAACATGTCAGGCCTAACAGCTTGATTTGATTTTAAGACATCTAATTTAGAGTTTGGTTGTTTTCTGGTTTTTGTTGTTTTTTTTTTTCCTGCTGCAATAAGACAAATCTTATAACGGAATAACTTTTTTCATGTTGCAGCTGTGCTTAGTATGCTGCTGCTGAATGAAAAGGCCTCTGCCTTTCTGCAGGGTGGTACAGACTCTCTCATTCTCAAACCCTCCCTCTCTTAACCTGGAGTGCTCCTTGGCTCACTATATCAATGCAGAAGCTGGGCCCTTTTTAGTACCTAATCAGGCACTTTCCACGGCATGAAAGGGTCCATGCACCTTCTCTATTTTTAGGCATTGATTTGTCTCTTTGCCACTTCTTTGCTTTGTTTTATGCCCTGAGTTAAAAAAAAACAACAAACCAAAAACAACAACAAATCTGGCTGGACTCAGTGTCTGGGTGTTTTACCTGCACAATAAATCTGCAACATGGCTAAAATCCTCACGGGTAATGGCAGTGGGAAGATATTTCAAAAAAACTTCTGGCTTTCAGTGTGATAGCAGTGTTCCACTCTATGTAGACAAATATAAAAAGAGAAACCTGTCTCTGCAGTCTGAGATCACAGCTCAAAAAACCATTTTGATGGGGTATTGTTAGGTGCAAGCCAATGAGGGGAAAAAATATTCCAGTAGGAGTTAAAGAAGAATGAACAAGTTTTTAAGAAAGAAGGATTATCATATCTTTAAAATATTTGAGCTGTATGTAGGCTTTGGGTAAAATTCCATTGGGAATACTGCATGTTGTTCGAACACGTGTTTTTAAATGTCAAAGCCTGTGTAGAGAGAAACAAATTGTGTAAGGAAAAAAGTATTTTCTGACAGCAGCATGCCATGCAGGTTGCCAGTCAGAGTTCCTGTGATGTCTGCTGTCAACAAATGTGACAGTTGCACAGTGTAGGAAGTCAGTTTGGGAAGGTGGTTATGATGACTGGCAATATTTGAGTAAACTGTGTCAGGAACTAGGTGGCAAAGTTGTTGATTTTGTCAGTACAACCTTTAAACTATGATAGGACCTGAAAAGATGTAGAATCAATTTTTGTTAATTATTATAGCCCTCTGGAATTTTAGGGTCTAGATTCTTTACCTCCCTATTTCTTGTTGTCAGTTCATTGTGTCTGTACTGCTTGTCACTGTATCTCTTGGAGCTTAACACCAGTTGCTGAGGTAGAAAAGTAGATGTATCCATCTTTCTTTTAGTGGCTTTGAATATGAGAATAGTAATTTTGCCAAAGCCAGCATGCTGCTGCAAATTCACTGGACAAGTTCTGTGGAGAGAGAAGCTGTTAATCCTAGCTAGACATTTTTCAGAGCAAAGCCTGCTAGGACTTGTTTCAAGCACATTGCAGTGTTTATGTGCAGAGCAACGTGTGGAATAAATTGGTGATCAGAGGTTTGGTGAAGCATGTGACAGGAGTTACAGGAGTAGTTCGGCTGGGCATTCTTGTGTGAAATGTGTTTTTGGGGAATGGGACAAGCTTGAATTCAAACTTAAAATAGATTTTTAATGTTTCTCTTAAATTTACATTTGAACTGGCTTTTATTTTGTTGGGGATATTTTTGGTAACAAAGGCTGCAAAAGCTTAAATACTTCTTTTCAGAGTTTTAAAGTTTACAAGTCAAAAACCAAAAGAAGAATCCAGATGTTTTAGTGAACAAATGCAGTAATAAGTTGTAGATCTCTGTAGGTTGTATACCAGTTGTGATTTTAAAGTGCTGTAAAAACAGTGCATTACTGGTTTTAGTTTGGGCTTGATTTTTTTCTTTTTACATGATATTTGATATAATGTTTTTAAAGTAGACATCAAATAGCTCCTATTTTCCATCCCGTTGTCAGAATTGCCTTTTCTGAGCACTTAATTCTCTGGGACTTCAAAAACAGGTGAGGATTAATCACTTCTGAGCATGTTCTTGTTGTCAGAAGGATATTTTTCATCATGTTCCCAATTTTCTTGAACAAAGTGTTCCAGCTGTCTTCATTCAGTAAAGGTACCATCAATTACAAGTAATTAACAGGTCAAATCAGATTATGATCTGTGGGTTTTCTTTTTGAGAGGTAAGATGATTAAAATGTCTGTTGTGATCTAATAATTCTGCATATGGCAGATCCAACCTGAAGTAGTTTCTGAAGAAGAAACATGTATTGTGGATGCTTTTTCATATTGAACATTAAGAATTTAAAAGGTCAAGATATGAATGAATGCTGAAATTCAACAAATTGATGAGAGGCCAGATTACTTTGGTTTAGTAGTTAAATCTCTCCCATGCACCTTCTTACTTTCTGGCTTTTTGAAATGAAGCACTGCATAACTTACTACTGAAAGTTCCAGAGCTTTTCCACAGAAAAGTGAGTGAAACTGTAGACCATTAACTTGAACTGGATGAACAACTGACCTTGAACTCAAGAGTGTGATCAGGTAGTGCCTTGCACATCAGGTGAAGTTTCATCAGAAGTTACTCTCCTTCAGCTGTTTAATACTGTGCCCTGAGCGTGTCAGTGTCAATGAGATCTTCATATTTCAGTTAATTTTTTTTCAGCTGTAATACTTAGGTTTTAAATAAAAATATTAAAAATTAGGTATTTTACTATTGCTAATGGTAGATGGATAATTTCATACAAGGAACAGAAGGTTTCATAATGTACTAAAGACTCATAGCAGAAAGCTCAGGTCCAGTGAAGGGTTTGGGGTGGGGGAGGGGAGGACAGAAGTGCATTTACTTTGTTATTGGAAGAAACTGCTATAGGAAAGAAGGAACATATCTCCTGACTTGAGGAAACAAGATAGGTTTTTCCTTTTGCCTTTGATCACCCTGTGCTTCTCTTGTTTCTGGATTGTATGGTGGGTGAGACAAGTCAGTATCCTTTCTGAAGTGTGGAATACTTTGACCTCCTGCTGCTTGGACAAAGCTGGGATGGTGGTTACTGTTGTCCAAGTTTCTGGTATCACAGAAAACATCTTCAGTCTTCAAGGCCTGCTCTAAGAACTACACCTGCAAAATTTTCTTTAATACTGTGTCTCAGGTTGCTGGTGGGGTGGAATATTGGTCAATCAAGAGAATTATAGTAAGTAAGAAAACTTTTAAAATGTGAACAGTTTCTTCTGAGTCTCAGTATGGGGTTTCCCAAGTTTCCCAAGTTTGAGAGAAAGTATGTGATAACGCATTTTGCTAAACATCAAATAGAAGGTGGTAATTAACTTCTGTTCATTGCCCATTCCATCAGCTAGGAACACCTTCTTTTAAAGTAGCTTTTCCTTTGGTGTTTGTATGCCCTGTGTATTTGAGCACAGCAGTTTAATGAAAGATAAGAATCAGGGATGACTTCTAAATGTGCAAGATTGGAGTCAGTCGAAGGCAGAAGGCTGACCACTGAGATGAGTACAGCTTTGGACAGAAGCTGTAGGGGGACAAAAGATAAAAAGCTTTGTCTATTATGAGCTGTGTCAAGGGGGCTTCTTACAAAATGTGTAGGTGAGAAAGAAAAGTCTTGGGGGAGCATGATAAAATCAAAAGCTGGTAACAGTTCACAAGAAAATTTCTACTGCATTTGTACATTTCATAAGATAAATTAAACTGCTCAAGTTATGTTTCCTTGGTGTTGGTGCTTATTGATGCCTACAGTAAAGTTGCTGTGACTTCAGAGAGAAGGGAGAAGGGAAAGCCCACTACAAGTGTTGTTAAATTTCATCCTTACTATCTCCCTATTGTAGTCCCAAAATTCTAAAATTTGCAAGCAGAGGACCATAAAATTTTCCAGTGTATATTTAAGATGACAGATTGCTTGAGCAATCCAGTAGTTTGTCTCCTCTGTTTAAATTATAAAATGACATTATAAGTCTGAGTCATTGTGCAATTAAGTGATGGTTGAGTGGTAAAAAATTCTTTCCTTAACACTTGCTTCAGACATGCTCATTTTTCAGCTGCCTCTAATAGCATTAGAGAGGTCTCTGATTTTAGAAATTTATTTTGGTTTGTGTACAGGAAACAGTATATTGCCTTGATGGAGCAGCTTTTCTTTTTTCTTCTTTTTTTTTTTTAAGTAATTTTGGCTAAAGTTGATAGGCATATTTGAAAAAAAACTCCAGCATGTAATTGTGAGGCTTTTTGTGATTGTTATTAAAAACAGGTGCCAAGTAAATAGTCATGGGGTTTTTTTAAATGGTAAAAGGTTCACGGAGATGCTTAGTCGTCTCTCTGAGGTAAGCAGAAACTTTGCTATGCAAGACTGCTGTTAATGAGCTTGACTTTTATTATTGCCAGCTGAACAAGCAGCTCAGAGCAGCTAACAGAATTTTATATTAGTCCTATACCAGCTGGAGTCAGCACAGATGGCAGTAATAGTTTCCATCACAGTGCAAAGATAAATGGCTGCTCTGTTGTGCCATGGTGGAGTGTTAAATAGAGATCCCAAGTAATGCATTTACTAGTACTTATTAAGATATATTGAGTATCTGTAAGACCAAGTCCTGAATGTTAAATTTCTGTGAACATTATTAACTGCTGTGATGTGAAGAAAAGCACCTTATTAATAAATAATAAACTTACTTCAAGAAGGAAGTGATGTATTTGTAAAGAGATGAGGTTTATGGATCAGGTAGTGAATATGTGCAGTTACAGTAAATTATAATCATCAGTGACTTGGATTTGGAGGACAGAATTGCTGGGAAATGTTTTCTTTTTCCTCAGCCTAGTGGCAAAGGTGCAGAACAGAGGCAAGGTTTCACACAGGGACTGCAGGAGATTGTAAATAGTCAGTGTTTAGCATTGGAAGGAAAATCCTGTGATACAAATTGAAGCTTAGATGAGGTGATTTAGTGGGAATTGGGTCAGAAGGCACTGGTGCTATTGGAAAGGGAAGATTGCTGTAAATCCCTTATCACAATTTTCTGAGATTATGGAAGTAATTTACAGTGATGAAGAATAGATGACTTTTAAAAGCTCTTTAGGAATTAGTTTGAAAAAAAAAAAGTTCACAAAAGTAACTTGTCTGTTTTGACTTTCTGTGAATGCAAAAACATTTGAAACTTGTTCTCTGAAGAAATACATCTGCTTGTGTGTTGTTTGGGTTCTTTTTAAAGCTTTTTCCAGACTTAACTATTCTCTGGGTTATGGCATGGAGAACAAACCATTAAATAATTGCTTTGACTGTGGAGCTCTTTGCAGGATGTGGGTAAAGCAAACAACTGAGCAAACCTGGAGGGCAGAGGACTTTTTCATTGTTCCCTGCCAGGGTCACCAAACCTCCCCTCCCTGTAGGCAGCAGGCAGAGTCTCCAACATCTCACACAATTTTACCTACAGGTAAAATGAAGTGAGCATGTCTTTGGAACAGCTTTGGATTACAGTTGTTCACATAAGTTGTTTAATGGGGTGATATACTGGAAGAATATTTCTAAGCTTGAGGTATTTAAGAATTCTTAGCACTTCTTCCAGCAATGTAGTGTTGCTCTTGGCAATGAAAAAAGAGTGAAGGTAGGCTGGGTGTAGGTGTGTCTGCTGCTGTTGAGCACCAGAGACAATCAAATGTTGGCATGCTGTGCCTCCCTTCTGGAGAAGAGCTACTGTCAAGGAATAACACTTTAACTTTGGTTTTATGTGAATGTGCCTGATTGCCAGGTTTTGATACCAAATTAAGATGTGTAAGAACAATAATCTTTCATTCACAGAAATCTGGGGTATATTTTATTGTGGTGAACAACTCAGGTCTACCCATGAAAATGCAATTGGCACTCACAGATGACTGAAGTATAGACAGTGTCTAGAGTATAGTTTCTTTTAATATGATTTTTTCCCCCTTTTTTCTTCATGTGTGAGGTGTGGTTTTGGAATATAGTTACTATTAGCGATGAATTTTTCTTATGAAAAACTTTTTTGAGACAATTCTTAAAATCGGCCAAGATAAGCTTAGTGAGATTTTAGGTTTGCAAAATCTACTTTTAAGCTGCTGAGTTTGTTGGAAACAACCATTTCACCCAGATTTTCCTGTATTATTTTCCCTGCTATTGGCTTCCCCAATAAAAACATATATTTCCAAAATCTCTTAAAGTTGTTTGCTTATTTGTCCCTGTGAAAGCTTAATAAGGAGATAACTACTCATAAAGCAGTAACAATTGTTTTACTTTGGTGTACTAAACTGCTTCCTAGGATTAGCATTGCATGGATTTTATTCCTTTGGAAAATTACTAGCCAAGATACCAAGTTTACCAGGGGTGCTGTCATTAGTCCATTGTTGTTGTTTGTCCCAAAACATGAAGTAGATAAAAGGCAACTTTAAATTAAAGTTCTTGCTGTTTTGGGATCTGATGCAGACACCTTTGTGGTCCTGTGGTTTTACAGGTAGGTGTCTGTCTATGTTGGAAGTACTCTTAGAAGCAAAAATACTGTGTGCCAGCACTCATTGTACTATTCAGAACTTAGACCTTTTCCTGAAGTTCTCTGTTTGTTTCTCTACCTTTAAAACAGAGAAATTAATGAACTCTGAGGTTGTTTTTCTCCAGGTCTCTGATTAGCATCTCTGCTAATCATTACAACTCTGGAGTCCTATCACTTTTTTTTTTTTTAAACAGGTTTGCTGCATTTCCACAGAGCTTCCTATTTACTGTAATTTAGTGTTATGTTTGACCTGAAGTGTGAAACTCATGGGTGCAAAAGGTCTGGAAGGCTGGTTTAAGGACTGGGCTGCTATTGAGGCAAGACTCCTGGTTAATTTTCATGCCAATAGTTAGAAAATACAAATAAGGAAGCAATTACTTTTGTTGGTAATTGTTCCTTCAAATGCTACTTTGAGGCCATTCCTTCATGAGGAAGGCACGTGCTTTGATGGAGAATATTACAACATATTTTTACCACTGTTTTTCTGAGGAGAATCTTTGGAAAAATATGAATTACTGAGAAGTATTAATACAGTGTAAGAAAAAAGAGCTCATCTCCTGTGCCTCACATATTCAAATGATGCTGAGTGTGCAGTTTTGGTGTTGTTTGTGCTGTGGGTTGAGCACTAATGTGCAGTATATACATGTAACATGCCCCAGGACACAGACACATGAGTTGGTTAATCCATGGCATTTCAAGCACTCTGTTTTGAAAGATTGCAGACACACCTCGTGAAACCCCTAAAGGTGAATTTGTCTATAGAAATATGACTACGTGTATCTCTGGATGGATTCAGGCTGCATTTCTCATGCTGAAGTTCCTGCTTTTCAAGGCACAATCTTCTGTTTCTCCTATTTCTGACAATGTATGGTTGGCATATGCACCTGAGTTGATCTAAGGTTATTACTTACACCTTACCCTTTCTGCTCAGGATTCATAAAGCATTATTTCTTTAACTTCTTGAGAAATCTTGTAGTCAAGTACTGAAGGGTGATGTGTCTAGCCAGCCATTGGATTATCATTCACATTATTGCAACTCTAAGTTCTCCCTGTGGAACAGACCAGCTGATTTAAACATTCTTTTCATGTATTTTGGAAAAACACCCATTCTCTCACCTTGTATTCTCTCACCTTGTATTTCTTTAATGTTGATCCTGTTATGTGAAGGTATTCTTGCAGAATATGAATTTTGGAATGATTTTTGCAGAATGCTGGGTTTCCCACCAAGATGACCAGTGAGTTACAGAGTTCTCCCCACACACCCTTATCTTCTGTTCATCACATCTAACTGGACTGTTGCTTTGGAAACCGTTGTAATGTCACAAGTGACTTCATTATGATTAAATGAGGGGAAAAAAATAGAACAAAAGAGCACATTCCTGTTTCAACATGCAACTTGGAAACTAAAACTGTCTCTCATACATTCTCTGTATTTCAGAGCACTTTTTGGTAATGGCACAGATCTGTCCTGCTAGTCAGGAATAAAATCTATACTTTGAAATTCCCGTTATTTATTTCCTTTAAATAGAATCAGTAATCAACTGATGTAGTTACAAGGATAATTGGCTTATACTCTATTAAAAGCTGTGCATGGTTCTGTCAATAAAAGAACCATTTATTGTTTACACTTCTTTGTCCATCACAGAGACTTAATTAGTTGTCTTTAATACTGAGTTTCCTGTTCTATCTGGGACTGTTTTCTATTTATTTCTAGTATCTGTATAAATATTTAGGTTTCTGAAGCAGGTAACTGCAGCTAAACAGAAGATTATAAAATTGTGCCAGGATGCTGCAAATTTTTTGGCACTGTCTCAGCATTGTTACTAATCTAAAGAGATTTCCATGTATTTTGTGGTTATGTTGGAGGTTTTTTTCTCAGTTTACACTTAGTAGCTTGTCTAGTAAATTTAATCTTCAGTGCTATATGGTAAATAAATGAAACTTACTAATGACTGAAGAAGGAAAACCAGAGTTATGGTTTCCTTGACCTGCCCACTTCATGCTCTAGAAGCTGTTTGCTGAAGGTTGCATCTAGTTTTCTAAACAGTGAGCTCTTCTTTCTGTGCAGCTTCCATTCAAAACCACAGAATGGTCAGGAGCCAGATCAGTGATTGTTGCTTGGAGGCGAGAGGGATGGGAACAGGAGGAGACTCTGCAGGAGTTCCCACCCTCCTTGGCACTATGGTGTATGTGCAGTGCTGCTTGGATATCCTGCTGGTTGACTCTGGTCCTCAGCTCTGGGTCGGGGTCCCTCCCTGGAGTCTGTAGTAGCTCAGTGTGCTGCAGCTCAGGTGCCAGGGCTTTGCTGGGAATCTCTCCAGAACAGGTTACTGAGCCACAGCCGGGCTTTGCTCTGGGCCTTACAGGGAAGGGGCTGGCACTCAGAGCACTCCTTGCGATGCCTGCTCCTGTGCCAAGCTGAAATCTCTAGCAGGTCTGCAGAAGTTTAAAGTGCTTGGCATGGGCAGCTTGATTAATGCCACAGCAAGTGAAGATAGTTTGGGATGTGTTTAATTCCAATTCTTTTTTTCATTCTTCTCCATTCAACTTTATTGTCACTGGTTTGTTACAGTGAATGAAGTGGTTGGTGTGTGAGATAGTGTTACAGAAGCTGGTGAAGTATAGAAAAAAAGCAGGGTGTGCGACTTGCTGCAGAGACACCAGACCAGTATAGAATATGTTTCTTTGGCTATATCCACATGAAGTGCTAAAATTGATGTTTACAGCCACTGATAAACTTTTGAGTCATTAATACTTTCAAGTAACTTGTTTTTTTTTTCCCAGAGTGTCCAACACCTTCCTTTTTTGGCAAAGCAAAATGAATAAGC